GGAAAAGTGTTAAGAGCTTTGCAAACTGTGAGAAGGCATTGCATTTAGATTTCACTTTTAGAACTTGGAGGAGACTCAGGATATTGGAGCAGGATATTGACATGATGGCATACGATTTTAGAAAAATTACTGTGGCCGGGCGTGGTGGCTCATGCCTGTAATCCCAGCACTTTGGGAGGCCGAGGCGGGTGGATCACGAGGTCAAGAGATCGAGATCATCCTGGTCAACATGGTGAAACCCGTCTCTACTAAAAATACAAAAAATCAGCTGGGCATGGTGATGTGTGCCTGTAATCCCAGCTACTCAGGAGGCTGAGGCAGGAGAATTGCCTGAACCCAGGAGGTGCAGGCTGCGGTGAGCCGAGATTGCGCCATTGCACTCCAGCCTTGGTAACAAGAGCAAAACTCCATCTCAAAAAAAAAAAAAAAAAAAGAAAAGGAAAAATTACTGTGATGACATGATGGGGAGTGATTGGCAGGGGAAGGCTGGAGGCAGAGGGTCATGTGGTGGGCTGTAATGATCTGGCCGTAATGATCTGGGCTAGAGAAGGTAGGGACTATGGTAGTGCTCAAGGCAGAAACGGTTTTGCTTTAGAAAATAATGAGAAAATATTTGTTTTGATCTGCATGGCAGTGTCAGGGGTGGGAAGGGAGGGTCAAATGAGGAAGAATCTTGAATCTACGATAAAGCCCATGTTTCACGCTTCAGGTGCAGACATTTCTTGGTTCAGCTGGTAAGTGAATAGGAGCACACGGGTAAGGAAAGAAGATAGTCGTCGGATCTATGTGGGGCACATCCATCTTGACGAGTGTGAGAGAGTCAAGTCTTGATGGATGGGGGCAGGTGGACATACAGGTCAGAAGCTCAGGAAGGAGATTTGATCTGAGGTGACCGCCAGAAAATACTGAGGGAAGAGAGGGACGAAAAGGATATCACATTGCAATATCACATTGGCTTTCTCTAAGGCAACTGCTTGGCCTGTCTTTATATTCCTTTTGAATTTCTGCATAGGTGTGGGTATTTATTTATTTATTTATTTAGAGACGGAGTCTTGCTCTGTCACCCAGGCTGGAGTGCAGTGGTGCAATCTTGGCTCACTGCAACCTCTGCCTCTCGAGTTCAAGAGATTCTCCTGCCTCAGCTTCCTGAGTAGCTGGGATTACAGGAGCTTGCCGCCACGCCCAGCTAATTTTTGTATTTTTAGTAGAGAGGGTTTCACCGTGTTGGTCAGGCTGGTCTCAAACTCCTGACCTTGTGATTCACCCACCTCGGCCTCCCAAAGTGCTGGGATTACAGGCATGAGCCACTGCACCTGGCCCCGTCATTATTTATTTTCATAACTAACAAATGTAGACTTTCTGTGTAATGACAACAAAGCCAAACCAGCTTCTACCAATGGAGGGAAAATAAGAAGAGAAGGAAAATGAAAAAGAAAAAGGGAAGCTTGGAGAAAAGCTGAAAGCATTCTGTTGCCGCAGGAGCTGGGTTGGGCCTGGCAATTCCTACTCACAGGCGTCTTCTCTCCCCACTTCCTTCTTTCTGGTTCCATCTCATTCACCTTCTGTCCCCTCCACTTCCTACCGGCCAAACCCTAGATTCCTCCAGAGGCTTTTTATTTTCATTTTTTTGGTGGGCAAGAAAATAGTGCTGATTATTTTTCCAAACCTTCACCTGAATGCCACATTGTGGCTTTGGTCCTTTTGGCTGCGTTCATCCCAGCCTGCACAGAAGGACTTTTGGGGCCAATCTGATCACGTACATACGGTCCTATCTCTTCAGTTAAAAAAACCCACACTGCTATGTTTCACTGACAACTGGTGTGAGTTGTTTTTTTAGAAAATCAACTCTACTTCAATAAGATTTTCTCATGCATTATTTTGATAAGACCAAATAATAAAATTTAATAAGAACTTCTTCTTAATGCAACTTAAATCAATTGCTTTAATAACACATATTGACCAAGTTATACTTGCTGAGGAAAAAAAAAGCCTACTTTGCTGTTTTTCTTCTTCTGATGTGAGCTGAAGACTTACAAATAGTTGTTAATGGTGCTTAGTTAAGAATAATTTGTTTTAATGGCATATATCAAATATGTATTTATTAAATTTTTCTTTTTGCCAGTTTATCAATTCTAGCTTTGTCACAAAAGGTTTGCAGTATGTACATGATTCTGTTGTATGTCCATTTCCATTTTTGTTGAGATGAATTCCCTTGTGAATTCCATTGTGATATACATCTATGGTAGATGGCCAATCCAAACATGAGACTCAGCCAACTGGCCTCTGACCCAATTCAGTTCTCCCATCTTCTTCTGGCTTACAAAGTAACTGGCTCTGGAGAGAAAGCGAGGCAAAGTAATATTTGGTTTGAATGGTTATTGACTATTTTCTTCAGAAACTTAATGTATACTAATTTATTTATTTATTTATTTATTTATTTATTTATTTATTTAGAGATAGAGTCTTGTTCTGTTGTCCAGGTTGGAGTGCAGTGGTATGATCATAGCTCACTGCAGCCTTGACCTCCTGGGCTCATAGTGATTCTTCTGTCTCCCAAGTAGCTAGGACTACAGGCATGGGCCATCATGCCAGGCTAATAGATATATAATATATATTATATATTATGTATATATTATATAATAGATATAAAATATATATATTTTGTAGAGACAAGATATTGTTACGTTGCCCTGGCTCATCTCAAACTCCTGTTCTCAAGCTATTCTCCTACCTTACTTAGCTTCCCAAAGTACTGGGTTTGTAGGCGTGAGCTACCACATCTGGCCATATACTAATTTTTTTTTTGAAGCTAAAATATATCAGCATATACTACATAAATATCACAGGAGACTAAACACTGAAAGTTTCTTTAAGGTATCAGAAGAAATATACTTTTTGCTTGCAGTTAGCATCTGCACAGATAAGTTTTGTTTCTGGTTCTATTACTTCCTCAGTTTGATCCTATTAATGAGGACAATTATAAAAATAATAACTATGTCTGGATATCTGAGTCAGTGTGTGGTCTTTTACTGAAGTTACAGGTTTATAACTCTGCTGACTAGTTTTCTGGTTTCTGTTATGCAATAGAAGAGTGCAAACATTAATTTGATCTGAAGCCCATTTGTACAGTGAGTTTTATAATGTATATTTAAAGACGGAAAACCAAGTTTTATGAGACTAGCCTTTCTTGTCAAGTCCTCACTCCACCCTCTTCTAATTGGGCCTGACCCTTGAGTTGAATAAACAACAAAGAGTTCTGTAGTTAAAACATTTCACTACATGTTGCATCTTGCCCTTAGTAAATGAAAAAAATAGAGACTTAAGCAGAGAATCTGAATTAAAGTGTGGAATATATATTCAATTTTGGAGTGGGAGAATGAGAAACATGTTTTACAGTAGTATATATCATTTCCTTAGTCTAAATTCAGGACATTTCTCCAAGACATGTAAGAATTTAGACTTATGCAAACAGACTTTATAAAAACATGCCAATATGTATTAATTTGTGAATTTTAGTATTCTGCTCCCTATAAACCAGATTCCTTTTGAGGGATAAAGGGATGGAGGTGACTTCTAAATCTTAGAGCAGAAACTTCCTGTGGGCAGCTGGACATATGTACCAGGAGCTCTGAGAAGACAGTTTGATTGGGAGCATACATTCTGAGTGATCTGCATTTGGTGAAGATGGAAGCCATGGGTGTCCATTAGGTTCTCTTGTGGGAGAATGTGGAGTAGTAAGAGAAGATGAAGACCTAAGATTGAGCCCTGAGCCGCTCTGGCTTAATGGTGGATGGAGGAAATTGAATCTGCAAACAATACTGGCAGGCTGCAGCCTGAGAGGCAGAAGAGACTGGGGTGTTTGGGATTATGGAAGCCAAGGGAAAAGCCTATTTTAAGGGGGAAGGGAAGAATCAACATCGCAGGCTGCTTCAGATAGGTTATGTAAGATGTGGATAAAAAAATATCTAAAATTTGGCAACAGGAGTCATTGGTGATCCTAGGAAGCTGCTTTTTGGGGGCAACTAAGGTGGAAAACATTGGTGTGGGTTGAGCCATGCAGGAGAGGTAAAGAAAAGGAGATTTCATGTGCAGACATTTCTGAGTTCAGCTGGGAAGGAGGGACAAGATAGAAGATCGAAGTTACAGAGCGTGGGGGATAAGGGAGACTATTTTATGGGACATTGTTGATTGTGATCAAAGCCAATGAGTAAGGACCATTTGAGGGATAGAGAGTCAATCAACAAGAGAAAAAAGAAAGAGGGTTAATCATAAAATAAGAGTAACAACAACTAACATCTTTTGAGTGTTTTCCATACCCAGGGAACTATGGTATAAACTCTTGACCTATATTCTCACATTTAGTTCTTAGAATAACTGTATGTCATGGGTTCCATTATTTTCTCTAGGTTAGAGAGGAGGAAAGTGAGAACTAGAAATGTTAGGTAGCTTGCTTAGAGTGCTCCAGCCAGTCAGTGAGGGACGAACTTACGAACTAAAGGACTGAACTTTGTCACCACCCAGCCCACCAAGCTGGCTTGAATTTAGATATTCTGTGCTGCAGTTGAGTACCTACTTAATTAAATTATATTTTAAGAAGGGCTACCTTGAAACTCTCTCTCTGAAAATTCTATTTTTAACAGGTCTACCCTGACGACGATTTTGGCAAGCACCCTTGGTAAAAGAAAACAAATCAAAAAGCAAAAAGCCTTATCTGCTGAGTAAACATAACGGTATAAAACATCATGCTACAAAATATAGGCTGGGTGAACTGAAGGCAACTTGCTCAGTGGACTCCTGATGCAGTTGGCTGCTATAGAAATTAAGTCCACGAGACGTTTTGTTTGCACTTCAAGAAGGACAGAAAAAGGCCAGCAGGCTGAGTAGCAGCATAGTAAGGCTGAGGACGTGATAGGAAAATATCCTCTAAAAGGTTTCCCTGTAGATTCTGATTGGCTACGTTTCCCGAAATAATATTAATTCCGTCCTCTTGCTTTTAATAGGACATAACGACTACATGTGTCCAGCTACCAACCAGTGCACCATTGATAAAAACCGGAGGAAGAGCTGCCAGGCCTGCCGGCTCCGCAAGTGCTACGAAGTGGGGATGATGAAAGGTGGTAGGTACATCTCTCCCAGGGGCCCTTGGGGGCTGCCCTGGCCACCATCCAGTGCTGGCTCTTCCCATCCGAATAACACCATGGGAACTTTGTGTGTTTTCTTTTAATTGCTTTTTTTCCTATTCTTGTTTTTCTTTGCAGCAAAAGTATTTCCATACTCCACTTTATTTTAAAAAGGTGAAAGTGTCTGGCACTGGAACTTCTAACATGCCATTTTGTGTTTTAGATTTTCAATGTAAATATATTTTCAATCAAGATGTGTGGGAGGCAGTGTTGGAAGAAAAGGAAGAGTGCTTAGTGAATTATTCTAGAAATATTTTTCAGTTACTGTTTATATTGCAAGTGCTAGAAAATGATATCTGAGGATAAACTTTCTCTAAATTGAGACTTGTACATGTGAAAGCTAAGTAGCTAATTTATAGCCTTTCAATCTCTTAGCATCCCTTAAGGAATGTGAATTTCAATCAAAAGACACCTTTCTCTTTAGAACTTGAGTCAACCAGCCACTTTCTTAACCTCAGTGTCTAGCATGGTGCTGGCATAGTTGACTACTGAGCACTGCACTAGTAAGTGCCAAAGCATGCAGGATTTGGTCCTATGGGCTTGTGTCTTTGTGGTCTTTGTGGCACTGTGTATGTGTGTGTGTGTGTGTGTGTGTGTGTGTGTGTGTGTGCGTGTGTGTGTGTCTGGTTTTCTGTCTTCTCATGTATCCGATCTTCCAGTTTTCTCATACAGGAATCTGGAAACTGACTCCCAGTTCTGGGAATATTAGGAGCCCCATCAGTGTGGTTGCCTAATTGAGCTCATTGTATTCTTGGGAGTCTCATCTTGAGGAACATTGCTTCTAGTCTTGGATAACCTTCAGCGTAGTGGAGGAGAACAAGTAGAAAATGTGTAATTAAAGTCACGAGGCCAAGGCGAGCAGATCACCTGAGGGTAGGAGTTTGAGACCAGACTGGCCAACATGGTGAAACCCTGTCTATACTAAAAATACAAAAATTAGCTGGGTGTGGTGGCAAGTGCCAGTAGTACCAGCTACTTGGGAGGCAAAGGCAGGAGAATCATTTGAACCCAGAGGCGGAAGTTGCAGTGAACTGAGATTGTACCACTGCACTCCAGCCTGGGTGATAGAGCGGGCTGGGTGATAGAGCGAGACTCTGTCTCTAAATAAATAAATAAATAAAGTCATGGATTCATATAGTGTTCCAGAAGGATACGAGAGGAGGGAAGGGCTGATGATAGTGCTACCTGCTGATTGTAATAGAGAAAAGCCCATTTCTTTTCTAAAGGAGGTGAATATTGGGGTTATTTAAGGAAAACAAAATTTCAGTGAAAAGGTTTAGTGATTTTGCAAATAGAGAGCAGCTAACCTTTAACTCATTCTTACATGGATGCAGGAGGAAGGAGAGGAAAGACGAAGAATGGAAATTATGATAAAGACCGGCTTGATTGTTAACAAGTTTACAGTGAAAGATTTCTTAGTCCCAGGGTCATAAATAAGCCAGACAGGCTGAGGTTTGGAATGCAGCCTTTGGAATAAATTCTCCTGGTGAAGAGATGCAATGTTGAATTTACACATTGTGTGAGGTGTGACTATGTCTATACGTCTTGAACAGCCGAAAAAGCAGCTTTAATTCAAAGGATAATTAATTCCAAGAATTTAGCAGCTACATTCAGAAAATGACACTTGAGTCATAGATGGATTAAATATTTAAGGAATTCGTCTTTCTTTGTACTGTTGGAGAATTAGTCAGGCTTAATTAAACTCACAAAATGCTTCTTAAGGTAACTTGATAAGTGACAGGAATATAACAGCTGCATGAGAAAAGCTTAATTTGAAACAGTAGAGTCGAGGCTTAATATTCTTCTTTGGCGATTATAGGTAGGCTAAGTGAAGGCTCTTACATACATTCCCCTTGAAAGCTGAAATAATCAAGTTGTGAACATGTTCAAAACATTTTTTAAAATGTGAGGGTACCCATGCATTGACCCCACTTCATAAAACCAATTCTGTTTTTATTGTAATTAATGTCCAGATACAGTCTGGCTGCATGAATATAAATTACGCATTCTCATTTTTAATCTAACAAAAATTCTAATATGCAAAGACATAATAAAAGTCTCTCCACTGTTCTCACCTAGGAATCTAGATAATTCAACTGCACATAGCAGACTGTGTGTGCCTGCATACACTTGGTTGTACAGTGATGACTGTAAAATATGTATCTGTGTTAGTTTTCTAGGGCTGTCATAATGAAATACCACAGGCTGGGTGCCTTAAACAATGGAAATTAATTTTCTCCCAATTCTGGAAGCTGGACATCCAATATCAAAGTGCTGGAAAATTTGGTTTCTAGTGAGGCCTCTCTTCTTCTTCTTTTTTTTTTTGAGAGACAGAGTCTTGCTCTGTTGGCCAGACTGGAGTGCAGTGGTGCAATCTCGGCTCACTGAAACCTCCACCTCCCAGGTTCAAGCAATTCTCTTGCCTCAGCTTCCCAAATAGCTGGGACTAAAGGTACATGCCACCACACTCAGCTAATTTTTGTATTTTTCTGTAGAGATGAGGTTTCACTATACGTTGGCCAGGCTGGTCTTGAACTCCTGACCCCAGGTGATGTGCTCACACTTGGCTTCCCAAAGTGTTGGGATTATAGGCATAAGCCCCACACCTGGCCTGTGAGGCCTCTTTTAAGCTTGTGGCCAGCGGTCTTCCCCTGTGTCCTCCCATGGCCTTTCCCCTGTGTCCAAGTACTCCTGGTGTCTCTTCCTCTTCTCATAAGCCCTGTTGGATTAGGGGTCCACCCTTACGACCTCATTTAACCTTAATTACCTCCAAAAAGGCCCTATTTCCAAATATAGTCATACTGGGGCTTAGGGCTTCAACATACAAGTTTTGTGGGGACACCGTTTACAACAGGCTGCCCTCCCAAAATACCATAGACTGGGTGCCTTAAGTAACAGAGGTCAATTGCCTCACAGTTCTGGAAGCTGAAGTCTGAGACCACAGTGTTGGCAGGTTTGATTTTTCCTGAGGCCTCTCTCCTTGGCTGGCAGACAGCCGCCTTATCACTGTGTCCCCACACGGCCTTTCCTCCATGTGTCTGCATCTTCTTCCTCTTTTATGAAGACACCAGTCATACCGGATTAGGGCCCCACACTTAGGACCTCATTAAATCTTAATTACCTCACTTAAGGTCCAATTTTCAAATACAGTCACATTCTGAGGCCCAAGGGATTGGGCTTCAACATATGAGTTTTGAGGGTGCACAATTCAGTATGTAGCAATATCCCACAGGGATTACTCAGTGATTGCTTAATATTTCTCTATGTATAATGAAAACATGTATCTTTCTGGCATTTTTTATATGTGCATAAGTTTTAAGTGAAACTTTAAATTCGTAAAATTATAGCCCATAAGAACGTCTTATTTTAATATGTATAAAGGGCTTGCCATAAAGCAATATAATTTATTATATTTTCTACAACATGGAATACCACACATGGCCACAGGATACCTTCTATAACAACTCCTTGAAAAATCCCATTGAATAAACACTTAATTTACAACTGGAAGTACAATGATAACTAACTATAAAATGCGCAGTCACATGGTAAAGACCAGCTGTGGCTGAATAAATCTTTACAACATGTTTTCAACCATTAGCATTCACAACAATCCACTTTCTTAACCAAACTGGTTACCAATTAGGATGTTGAAACTCTACCTATGAAATAAAAAGTTTAGTTTCAGTTGAAAGAGAACCACAGACCTACTCCCTACTTTTATAGCAAGGCTGAGAAAATTTACTGAAGATTTACGGAAGATCTATTCTAAATATCCAAAAGAGTGCATGATTTATCCACATGAAGCATCAATTTTAATCCGTTGTAATGCTTACTGCCTCTGAAAATCCCAGCATCATTATTGGATTTGTTTCTGAACCATGGTAGTTCAATAAGACGCAGGATTTAAATTGTGCTTTTGGGAATACGCTTTTCTGTCCTAGTACATGTGCTGGTCTCTCTGAGTTGGTTTTTCCTCTTCATTTGCCTCCTTTCCCTTGAACTTTAGGTTGTAGATTACATGTCTCTTCTTCAGGAAGGCCTGAACTGTTCCCTGACAGTTCCTGAGGCTTGAAGTTCCAAATCAAAGGGCTGGAAAATTCATCTTCTAGCTTTCATAGCAAACAGCCCTTCTCTTAGTTCTCATCGCCATTATTATCAGTTGTTTAATGTTTGTCGTTATATATGGTCCACAAACTCCATGACTGCAGGGGGCCTCTGTCTCAGTTACTGATCTCACATGAAACAAGTCACAAAGTAGGTGTTCAAGAAGTACTTTTTTGCACTAATTAATGAATTGATTCAATTCATTTAAATAGTTATTTGTGTAGGGCTTCTTATATGCAAGCTGTTGGGGATAAAGCAAACATGAATAAGATTCTAGTTCCTTCCCTCAATGTCCTCACTGTAAAAAGAGAGCATTTGCTTGGGAAGTGGCGAATAAAAATCCCGACGACAAGTGGAGACTGGGTTGCAAGATGGCTCAAGTACTGAATGATCAGGATGCGAGTCTAGAGCTTTATCTAACTGCTCCCAGGTCTAGTCCAACTCAGAATGTTACTCAGACCCCCTGACTTCCAAGACATATCGTTGCTCAAGAATTTGGCCTTCTCGCTTAGTTTGGAAGAAAGAGGAAGTCTTCCAAAGGTAAATCTGTTCAAATGCTGGCTCCTCAAACTTGCTGAGCAACCTTGTTAAAGTCACTTTTATGAGCTTCACTGTTTTCAAATATGAAATGGAAATAAATAAATTTTACTGGCTGGGCATAGTGGCTCACGCCTGTAATCTCAGCACTTTGGGAGGCCAAGGTGGGTGGATCACTCCTGGATCAGGAGTTTGAGACCAGCCTGACCAACATGGTGAAACTCTGTCTCTACCAAAAATACAAAAATTAGTTGGGTGTGGTGGCAGGTGCCTGTAATCCCAGCTACTCAGGA